TGGCAGCAGATCCCCCCAACTGCAGCACATTCACACGGTCTGGTTTTGCTGCTCGGTTCAAACCTTTCTGATCAGCTTCAGTCTTGTCTCCTGGCTCTGGCAGGAGCAGCAGCTGCTCAGTGAGACACAGACTGTTTGTGCATCTGCACCAGCACCACTGTCACCCCCCACAGCCCACCTGCAACCTGCTCCTGGCTCTCCCCCTCAGGATTCTGAACACGACCCTGTTTGAGAGCTGGGAGCTGATCGGTCCTTACCCCTCCTGGTGGCTCTTCAACGGGCTCCTGGTGACCCTGCAGGTCCTGCACGTCATCTGGTCTTACCTCATCATCCGCACGGCCTCCAAGGCCCTGGTGAGGGGCAAGGTAAGGCTGGGGGTGCCCTTGGGGGGTCCTCTGTCCCACAAACCCTGATAAGGGGCAAGGTAAGGCTGGGGGTGCCCTTGGGGGGGTCCTCTGTCCTACAAGCCCTGATAGGGGGCAAGGTAAGGCTGGGGGTGCCCTTGGGGGGTCCTCTGTCCTACAAGCCCTGAAAAGGGGCAAAGTAAGGCTGGGGGTGGCCTTGGGGGTCCTCTGTCCTACAAACCCTGATAAGGGGCAAGGTAAGGCTGGGGGTGCCCTTGGGGGGTCCTCTGTCCTACAAGCCCTGATAAGGAATCCTGAGAAATTGGGGGCTGGTTCTCGAGGGACCTGCATCAGGAGTTCTGCAAGGAGAGTGATTTTTTGTTTCCCTTGGTGTGTGATTTTTTTTTTTTTTTTACCTCTGCAGTTCCCAGGTGTTGCTCAGGAGGCTTCCTGTGTTCTGGGCACGCGGGGAAATAACTCCCGTTTTCCAGCATGCTCAGATGTTTTAACAGTAGTGGTGGTGGCAGAGTTGTTAGGTGCTTTGGAGTTTAAGGTGGTGACAGGCTCATTTTTGAACTACAGGATGTTTTCCAATGACTTCAGCTGGTCCTGGGGATGTGCTGAGGGTTGGGCACCTTCACCTGTCAGCACAGACACTGAGCTCCAGCCTGGAGGGAAGGGACTCTCAGGGGTGCAGAGGGGTTTGCTGGTTGTCAGAGAACCACAGGATGGTTCTCTGGGTTGGACTTTAAGATCATCCAGTTCAAGGCCAAGGTTGGATGGGCCTTGGAGCACCTCAGTGGAAGGTGTCCCTGCCCGTGGCAGGGGGTTGGAACTGGGTGTGATCCTTCGGGTCTGTTCCAGCCCAAACCATTCTGTGATTCTGTGAAAGCTGATTTAGGAGGACAGATGCTTTTTCCAGTCAGATTTTGGTGTTCTGAGCCGAGTTTCCCCTCGTGGCTCTGCATTATTTTGTGGTTTTGACTCCAGCTGCCCCCACACAGGGACTGTTGACTTCCAGAAATGTTTCTGTCGTGGTTGCCCGTGGCAGGGACTGTGGGGGAAGGCAGGTTTTGGGAGTCTGAGCTCTCCCATCTGTTCCCCACAGCTGCTGCTGCAAATGCCTGATTTTTCTGCTTCTGGAGCTGTTTCTGTATCCTGAGTTCTACACCTTTTTCCCTTTCCTTGGTTCTCTCCTGTCCAGGTGACCTAGCCAGAGAAAGGACTCTAAGCTCTGTCTTCTTCATTCTTTTCTCCTTTTCTCTGTGCCAGATTGGAGCTGGACAGTTCCACCCTTTGCATGTAAGTGTGACCTGTGGTTCTCTTTGTTCACTCAAACACGGCTGTGGCCAGGCCAGGACAAAAGCAGAGCTCTGGTCTTGGGGCTTTGGTGCCTTCTCCTTCTCTCCCTGCTCCTGACAAAGTGCCAAAATTCAGTTTTTTCCAAAGGGCAGAGCAGTGTCCTGGGGTCTGATCTTACCTGCTGTCACCTGCCTGCACGACCTTCACTCTCTGGTTTTACACACTCTGATTTCTGTCTTGGCTCCTTGTGAGGGGGAGAGGACAGGAGAAAACTGCTCCTTCCCGTGAAAAGGAGCAAAACAGTCCCTTATCCCCCAATAGTGGGGAAAAAACTCAAGGGATTTCTGCTTCCTCCCAGTGACCCTTTGAACTTCCAACATAGCAGGAGACTGGGGGGGACAGATAAGCAAAGTTCTGGCAACGGGGCAGAACATCCAGCAGGGCTCCTGGAGATCATTAACTTCACCTGGCTGCCTGCCAGAGCTTCCCTGGAGTTCAACCACTTCCTGCTGCTGGAGGGCCCTAACCCTGGCTCAGGATGGAATCCTGGAATCCTGGGGAAGCTGTGAGCCAGGGTGCTGGCACGTGGAGCACACGAGGGCTGTTGGCTGCAGAGGCAGGAGGGAGGAGAGTGAGAGGAGCAAGAGCAGGGCCCTGGGGAGGTTTTGCCTCTGGCACCTGCCACCTCCCAGGTGTGTGTTTGCAGTTAGGGCCGGGTTTATGGGCTCTTCCCTCTCCCTTCTGGCTCCTCAGGGCTGGAGTAGGGCCCTCCTGTGGCACCCAAAGTCCTCCTGGAAAGGTTCAAATTCCCCCCCACGGATCAAAGTGAGCTGGGTTTGCAGCTGAGGCATAACCCTGCTGGCAGATCTGGATCTCTGGGCTGAGGCTCCTCCCGTTCCCAGACACTGCCTTTGTTCTCCATCCCGCTCTCCCAACAGGCCCCTGCTCCTCGGTGGGATCTCCTGGATGAAGCACCCAGGCTGCTGGGACTGGGAGGCACTTGGTGCAAAGCAGTGATGTGATAAATTCAGCTGGTTAATATTTAAAACAGCAGAGCCTCCCCCCGTGGGACAAAACGTTCCCTCTCAGGCTGATGCAGTGCTGGGGCTTGGTCATTGTGCCCACTGGTGATTGTGGCACGGGAAAGTTTTGAGTCAGAACAAGCTGTTTAGAGACATGGCCTTTAACCCATCTAGAGTGGAGCTCTTGGAAGGCAAGGACACCCCCAGACCCGTGGTGTCCTCTGATCTGGTGAGAGCACAGAGAGCGAAGGGGCTTTGACAGATGCACAGAGCGTTTGGAAAATGGAACTCACCTCCCCAGATTGTCATTTGCAGTGTCTGTCTTGTTCCTAATGCCATGACAGGATCCTCCTCGGGAGCTTGAACTGCTCCAGGCTCAAATGCAGGAGGTAGATGTGACTTGAAGCTGGTTCACCACGTGGACACAACCTTCTAACCGCTGTTTTCTGTGCATTTTCCAACTCCCCTTCTCCTCTCCCGCCACCCAATTCCCACTGGCCACCTCTTAGGTGTCCAAGGACGACCGCAGCGACGTGGAGAGCAGCTCTGAGGAGGAGGATGTGACTTCCAACAGCACAAAAGGAGCCTTCAGCCCTTCCAGCAACGGCTCCAACCGCCTCAACGGCCACGTGGCCG